ATCGGATTCCTATTTGGCTGCCACTAACCGCAGCCTCGTGGCGTCTGCTGGGCTGGGGTGCTGAGGTTAGCTTCCCAAAAATCCCAGAGTCTTCGGGAAAGTGGGGTGGGGGGGAGACTTTTCTCCTGGAACGGTTCCAGTTAACTGCAAAAATCCATCTGTCCTGATTCTTCCTCCCCGATGAGCTCACGCTTCTCTCAGTGCCGTGTCGTAGGGGCTGTGTTCCAGCTGGCGAGGGTTGCGTTCCTCGTCTTCTGGTCAGCGGCTTTGGGAGAAGCTAAGCTGAAGTGCCTTCAAACTGAACTTCAAAACCTCGTTGCCTGGAAGGCAGGAAGCGCCCTTGCAGATCAAAGGAAAGGAGAAGGAGATTGCCTCTTCCCTCCTTCAGAGGCATCGAAGAGCAGGGGTGGGAGGTTGAAGGGAAAATGTGGGCAGGCGTTGATCAGGAGTTGGCAGGAGGTGGCAGGATCCAGGCACGGCTTGTGCAGCCAGACAGAAGGGCAGGAGGTGGCGGTTTGCTTTGCCAGCAGCTGCTCCTCACTCTCTGTCCCGAGCTGAATATTCCCTCTGGTTTTTTTTTGTGAGCGGGGGATCAGGCTTGATTTGGGTTCCCTGCAACACACACGCCCAGCTGCTTCAGATCATTTCTAGTTCCCTGTGTCGTTTACAGTAAGAGGAGCTGGGATTTTGATCATTTCTAGTTCCCTGTGTCGTTTACAGTAAGAGGAGCTGGGATTTTGCTGTGGTCTCTGGTGGGATAAACCGTTGGTGTTTAAGGCTGGCAGTTGGACAGAACCAATCCCACTAATCACAGAGCTGCTTAGCTCAGAACTGATGCGAGATGTTAATGACATGCACACATATACACGTATGTTCTGATTGCTTTTGTTCTGGAATGATGTGGTTATGTTTGACAGAGTGGCAAAAGACGTCCGCAGGCTCCCTTTTTCTCTCTCTCTCTCCTCTATCTTCTTTTACCTTCTTGGTTGTGTTCCCTGCCTCTTAACACAGGACTGAGATCTCATTACGTTTTGTTAATGTCTGTGGCAGATAGTGGTGGGGCTGTGAGGGATTGCAAGGGTGGGAGAGGGGGGGGGAAAGAAGAAATGAAGCATACGACTGCGAGAGTGAACACACAACACCAAACTGCACAGATAGAGCCTGAGATTTTGCAGGATTTCTGGTGACACTTCTGCAACGAAAGAAAAATGATAATGTATGTGGCAGCGGATGAAATGGATCTGGGGCTGCAGCTGTGGGGATCAAGTGAGATAAATCGAATGACAAATGCATCTCTCAGCAGAGATAAATATGCAGCACCTATAAAAAAGTGAATATTTTTAAAAGGCGAGGGTGAGGGTAGGACTGCTTCACCAGCAGAAGAATAGTTTTCCTGAAGGTTTCTTTGTACCTGTCTGGTGGGCTCCATGTTTTGTGGAAAGGGGAGAAGGGGTTCATTTTAATTCTTCTTTTTTCAAGTCAATTGTATGATGGATGGACATATGCTGGGGATAAAGGGACAAGAGAAGCCCCTGCTGGTGGGTAACGGGGGATGTTCTCCGTGTGCGCAGCAGATCCTGCAGCAACACACCCATCAGGAGAGCAGTGTCCTGAGAGGGGTGAGGTGTGACTGTCACCTCTTGATTAACACTTCATACCTACCCTTTTGGCGTGTAAGATCAAACCGACACGTAGGCTTGACAGGAGGGGGACATCTTCCTTCTCCCAGCTGTGTCTTTTGAAGCAGAACATTTGAAGCTGTAAGTAGAGAAGACAGGGTTTTATTTGCTGACTAGAAACCCTTTATCACGATAGCACCTGCAGGTCCCAGCCGAGGTGAAGGTTCCATTGTGGCTGTTTCCTTTTGCCTTGTTGGATCTCTTTCTCTAAATCAAGTGTCCTTGTAGTGGATGTGTGTGTGTATATGTGTGTGTGTATATATATATATATGGCTCTAGCAAAGAGCTTGACCTGCAGAATTTGGACAGCACTCCAGAGGCTTGTCTTGGAGTTGGTGAAAACTGTTGTCAGACAGCGCAGTGAGCTGGAATTCAAGCCATGAGTCAGTCTCAACCCCTCTGTTACTTTTCCTGTCATCAGGAGTGCCCACTGCTGCTTCAGCCTTTTTGTTTGGAGTTGTCAGAGCAGTGCAGTGGTGTTGGAGGGTGGTTTGCATTGGGTGAGGAGAAAAGAGGTGTTTGGTGGAGAACAAGACTACTGCAATAAAAAACCTACACAGAAGCATGCTCTGGGTTTTTTTTTTCAAAAAGAAGTAGTGTTAAAAGGTGCAAAGAGCTGATTTTGAGCAAGGCCCCTGTGCCTGGTTGTGTGCAAACATCTGGCCTGTCACTGCAACTCTTTGCATCCTCCCAGCCCAGGGTGGCAGGACCGCCAGGGCTGAAGGTGGGTGATACGCTGGAGTGTGGTATGAACTGAAGGGAAAAGCTGCCCCATGCTGTCTGTCACGGGAGGTGGGAAATGTTTTTTTGCTGATGGGCTCTGTTTATGGAAACTATTACATTGCTTTCATTCTTCCTCTGCCTTTTCCTCCTCCCAGCTAAAGTCTTTCCTGAAGGAATGCAAGGTTGCCAACTACTGCAAGCCTATCCGGCAGCTCTTGGAAAAACTGCAGGAAAATTCTGCCTACATCGCCAGCAAGCGTCAGAAAGCTGCCTTCGGCGTGGCCAGCCGGGAGTCTGTGGTGAGCCTGCTGCTTCCATTTGGGCTTCCTGGAAAGACACTCAGGCTCCAGCTGCTGGGGTTGAGCGGGTGGCAGAGGGAGGAGGGAGGACGAGCTCATGGAAACGGGAGCGTGTGGGGTGGGGCAGATGTCAAAAACAACTGAACTCGGCAGTGCTCTGATGCTGTAGCTGGCAGGACCCTGCAGCCAAAGGCCTCATGGAAAACACGGTCCCTAAGCTGTACCCTTCTGTTATTTATAACACACACATATGTGTGGAAGTGCCTTGCTTTGCTGGAGCATCTCCTTTGCTGATGGGTTTCTTAGTTTTTGTCATCCCATTCCTGATATGTAGGTGCCAGAGCAGATAATGTGGGCACAGAGCAGAAGTCACAGTGCAGATTTAGGTTTTTCTTCAGACACTAAGGGGCAGAGACTGCAGAAAAGTTAAATGCCTTTGAAATCCTGACATATCAGTGCCAGGACACAGCAGTGCTATTCTGGGATTAAGAGGAACTGGGTCTGAAGTGACTAAGGAGCATTTGGTTTTTTAAATGCCCTTCTGGGTTGGACTGTTTTGCTAAAGGAATTACACTTCCCGTCTGGAGCGCTGTGGTTAGGGTTCGGGTTTGTAGTTGGGCAATGCTGTGACCACCCACCCGCTCCTCAGAGGTAGAGATTTCAGCCTCCGGGGCTCTCCATGAAACAGATGGGCTGGGGAACGTCGTTGCTTAAATAAAACAGGGGTTCCAACGACTCTGCCACTGTCTGCTTTCCCCAGCAACTCTGGCTGCAGTCCCTTGTGTACGAACTAAATGATTATTTTAACATCTTGCTGCCTGGGTGCCTCCTGGCCGACAGAGATGCACCTGCTTTCCTAGGGATGTCTGGGTGGCTGCGTAGTTGGACCCAGGGCTGGCTCTGGAGGGGCAGCAGCAAGCAGCCTGCCTTGACTGAGGGAGGCTGGTGGAGGGAAGCAGGCACCAGTTTGCCCAGTGTGTTTGGAGACGGCTTTTCTGCCGTTTAAGCAAGTAAAGCAACAGTGTGAAGCGCTGCTCAGGGAGGATGCCTGTGCAATCTGCATTTTTCCACCGTGGTGGTGTCCTATGGGAGGAGGGAGCCCCTCTCTTCCTTCGGTTAATGTGGGATATCGGTGCTCCTGGGAGCAAACAGCCCACTCAGTACTTCTGTGGGGTGGAAGAGCCATAGTGGCTTCTCTTTTATGGGCAGAGGGCAGGTTTTGTGCCTGGGTCACCCTGTGTTCTCCCCTGCTATGCCTTTGCAAGCAGATGGTGTAGATTCCCAAGAGGAGCCAAAGCTCCCACAGAGACTGGGCTTCCCAGAATGATGTGGAGTGTCCCTCGAGGTCTGGGTTGAGTTTGCCGGGCTGTCTCCAGGCTATGTGGGGCATTGGCGCTTTTCATGAGCGAACACTGCCAGAAAAGGGAAGGGAAGGAGGGGGCTGAGGGAAGGGAAGGTATTTGCATGTCCCCCTTGCCAGCAAGAGCAATTGAAAGCAAATGCTCTCCAGTTTTCTCATGCATGCGTTTGTGCCTCATCCACTGTAGGCACCAGAGCCTGTATTCTGAGCTAATTCTTCCATGCAACATGCTGAAATGCAGCTTTCATGGGAGGAATTACGGAGTAGTGGGCATTCTGGTCTCATGTTTCCGGTGGGAGGTTTTTCCCGGGGGTGGGTAGTGATCTTTGTCGCATTTGTATAGATGTGAGCATGGTGGGCTTGATGCATACTGGGTGTTGGTGCAAAAGTAGTAATAGAAGGAGAATTTCAAATGGTTAAAGTGAGGTGATGGCACCCACTCTCTCAAAATTTGGAGGTGTTCTGTGTAGAAAGATGGGCGTATTTTAATGGTCTTTTTTATCTCTGGATTCCGGCACACTTTAAAACCAAAAAGACCTGTATCAGCCAGAACAAACAGACTTTTGCCCTCTGTAAGAAGAGTCTGTCGCTGAAGCTGTCCGTCCTGAGCAGCATCAACAGATTGCCTGATTACAGCTGGCAGCCTCATGTGAACCCGGTCTATAAATGGGGTAACTTTGTGCTGGCACGGCGCTGGGTCACAGCGAGGGCAAAGCTGGGCTGGCTGGCGGCTCCGCTGGCGAGCGCAGGCTCGGCCGAGCTTTCGCTCAGCTCCCGGCGAGGAGACCGGGGAGCACAGGCAGGCTCCAGCTGTGCAGACCTCGAGCCTGGATCCTGTGGGGGTTGTGAGTCTGGGCCCCGTGATTAGCAGGAAGAGCCTGCTCGGCTTGGTGCTGTGTTCACAGCGCCCAGTGTAGGATGCACAAACAGATTCTGGGCCGTTCCGAGTGCAGGGACACAAGCTGGGCACCGTTTAATTGCCAGCTGCCGAGACCACAGATCGTCACGGCTTCCCTCGCGGGGACGGACCGAATCGAGAGCTGGTGTAGGTTGATGCATTTCACTTCACACCGTAGTTTTGGGGCTCAGCTCCCCAGAAATGGTTGATTTGAGTTCTGGTGAGGATTATTTGAACTGCTGCTTTGTTTTGTGCTGTGAAGATGATCTGGCCTTAGGTTCCCACCCTCGAGAAACAAACTGGGTTTGTTTAGTCTGGAGAAGAGGAGGCTGAGAGGAGACCTTACTGCCCTCTACAACTACCTAAAAGGAGGCTGTAGTGAGGCTGGTGCTGGTCTCTTCTCTCTAATTACTAAGGACAGGACAAGGGGAAATGGCCTCAAGTTGCGTCAGGGTAAGTTTAGATTGGATATTCGGGGGAAGTTCTTTCCTGAACGAGTGGTGAGGCACTGGAACAGGCTGCCCAGGGAGGTGGTGGAGTCACCAGCCCTGGAGGTGTTTAAAAAAAAAGTAGATCTAGCACTTGAGGCTGTGGTGTAGTGGTTGGGTGTGCTGGGATGAAGGTTGGACTAGATGATCTTCAGAGGTCCCTTCCAACCCCGAACATTCTGTGATTCTGAGAAGGAGCACCGTGTACGCACAGCTACCCGTGCGGAGCTCTGGATTCATTCTCAGCCCTGGATTCAGGATATTCTTTTTGGATCCGTGTTGATCTTCGAGTGTACCTATGCTGACCTTTGTTCCGGTTGCTCATTCCCTTCCTCCTTTACCTGTTTCAATTCCTACTTGTCTGTCATGTCTTTCTGCTTGCATTAGGTTGACTTTTGACTGTGGGGTAACGCAAAGCCTCTGGGCACTGTGGTAATCCAGTTACCAGGTACAGTTGTCTGTGGGTTTTAAGTTAAAGGGATGTTGGCAGGTTAAGAGGAATGTATTTTAACACAACATACCACCCTCACCCCCCTGCTTTCAGCACTAAAATGCCAAATGATTGAAGCACAAAAGAATTTTTAACCAGCTAATTTACTTCCCACCATTTACGGTGTTTGCACCTCCTTATTCTCCCTGCTTGGACAGCGGAAACATCCTCCGCACTTCTTCATGCTCTGCCTTCTCAAGGTTGGGATGAATTCCAAGACCCTGCAGGGGAATGCTTATTTCAAAAATAAACACTTGTCCGTGGAACTGGGGCAACAGGCAATTGCGCATCTTTGGTACTTAGGTCTTGCAAATGCTTGCGTGAGGTTTTTCTGAATTAAAAAGCAAGAACTGAGCAGGTGATCAAATGCCTCCATTGAAGGAGCAGAGGACAAATTTTGTCGTGGTAATCCTCTGATCTGTCCTTTTTGATTCCTACCCTCAGATTTCAGTTGAATTTCTTTCTTTTCCATTGCAGTAGGCTGCGTCATCTGACTTGACTGCTGTGTCAGTGTCTTCTAGCTAGAGCTAGAGTAGAAGTGAATGCTCGAGGCCAGGATAGTAATAGTGGATCCCAGAGGACACTAAGCTGATCTTGAGGAGAGCCTGTTGTGAGTTCTCAGCAATTCTGAGATCCAGACCTCTTCTAGGCAGGAGAAATAGGAATCTGGGAGTCCACCCAGAAGCTGGGAAGGGGTGGTTTGGGAAGGGTCTTAACTTCTGCTCTTGACTTCCTGCGTCTGCCAAAATGTTGGAGAACTCCTCTGAACACCTTTTTTAAGTTGGCACCCTCTCTCTCCACAGGAACAGTGGGAGAAGCAGGTCAAAGAGGAGGGGACACCTCTGACCAAGTATTACGCTCAGTGGAAGAAGCTAAGGGAGAAGGAGATACAACTGGAAATCAGCGGCAAAGAAAGAGTAAGAACAAAGTGCCTCACTTTCTGGATGTTACCTGTGCTGTGGGAGGACAAGGAGCCACGTCCTGGCGGCAGGAGGGTGGCTGGTCAAAGCTGGCTCCACTCGTGGGAGCTGAGATGGGCTTGAGCTGTGTGAGCGCGTAGGCTGGGCGTTCTTGGAGAGAAAGTTAACAGAGAATAGATGAAGCGGGGGATGAAGTAGTGCTGGGGTAAATTTCCCTCTGTCCCAGTTTAGGGTGATGCAGTTGAGGACCCACCGGCACAGCAGCCTTTGTAATTCAAGGCTGGGAAGCTGAAGACAGTAGAGAGAGAGCAATTGTGTGTCCTGGCGGGGTAACAGACTCAGTTGTGTCTGAGCAACTGGGGCAACAGCCTCACTGTGGGATGCTGCCTTTAGAATGAGCATGTCATGTTTCTTACACACAGATCCTGTTCTGCTTTGGGCAGTTCGTGTCTTTTCTTGCAAATTCCCTTTTTTTCTTCTTTGGCCTGTGGGAGGTGGTGGCTGGCCGTGAGGTGGGACTTGCTGTCTGGCCGTTACGGCACTCTGGGCCGTTTCCCACATCTCCTGCCCAAGGGGAGGCTCCTTGGCCGCTCCTCGTGGCACTGCGCTCCGGGGTGCGGAAGGTGGGGGTGGGAGCTTGCTGACACGAGGAGTCTAAAGGAAAGCTGTCTCGGTGCTAATGCAATGAAAGTGGCTGAGCTAGGCTCTCGGCCAGGGAGCAGGAAATAGATATAATTGGTGTCTCCAGCGTATGGTGGGAATCAATTAAAATAATCAATGGGACATGAGGATGACTGGCTCTGAGACAAGTCCCAGAGCATGGTAGAAGACCTGAGAGATCCAAGGAAATGCTCAGTATCGTATACCAGCCCGAGATAAGGACAGGAGGCTGAGATTCCCCGGGGCGGCCATGCAGAGTGAACAAACAGCATGCCTGTCTTCTCTGCAAACCCAGCAGGAGAATGTGGCCTTTGCAGAAAGGAAATCAGGGGGAAGGGGAGCTACGAAACAGCAAGTAGTGATGGCTGTGAGTGGGGCTAAGCCCAAAACTGGTCCTGCTGGTGTGTGCTGACACTTCCCTGGTACTGAAACAGCTGTCCTAACAGGAGGGGAGAGCAGCCCTCGGTGTAGACAAGCCTCCACCTCGTGTTAAAAGGAGAAGGGGAGCTGGAGCTGCTTGAGGTGCCAGGACCAGCCCAGGTGGGAGCTTTCTGTGAGGGGATTGCTTTTGTGTAGCATGGCTCAAGAGGGTGGCTTCTGAAACCGGGGGAAGACTGAAGGACGTCGACAGGGACTCGTTCCCTCTTGGAGGAAGTGGGCTGAGCAGATCAACTGGAGAAGGAGAGAGAGACACACACACACGCCTTGGAGGCCGCTCTCCGAAAGGCTGCCTGGCATCTCTGCCTGCTGAATGGGGCTGTTGTCTCTCTCGGTGGGGACTGCCGGCTTAATGATGCAGCATTGTGAGCCCCAGCAGGAGAGCGAACGCCATGAGGCCCATTAGGGCTGGGAAAGTCCATGTCCCATTAGCAGCCATTGGGGGGAAAAAATAATAACAGGGGAGGAAAAAAAAAATCGGGCCGGCTCTCGGCTGCTCTGAGCTGCAGCTTGCCTTATATAACAGCACTGACCCTGTCTGCCCATTCCATTTGCTTTTCCCAATGGTTTTTAATGGGATGTAGACTAATCGGCTTCATGAGACTCGGTAGATAGCAACCCTCTAGCTGAGGATTAAAAGACTGGCCCCCAAATTACCTGATTACTGCTACTGTGTGATGAACACAGGCTGCGCCTGTGAGCTGCGGCTCCGTGCAAGGTCTCGTTCCTTTGCTTTGTGATCACTCTGCAGCTCGAAAGGGTTTCTGGTGCCTTTATTTTGAGGTGCCCATCTTGAAGGCGTTCCTGTGGAGTCTCAGAAAGTTGGAGGTAGCACAACTCGGCGTGATTCGACACCAGGTCCTTTTTTAATATGCTCAGGTTGAGTTCAACCTTTGGAAAAGAGGATTCTTACTAGGCATTAGGAAAATACAAAGAAGTCTCAACTAACAGCCTTTGCTCCCTGCTGTATGTGCCCTGCACAGGATGCTGGAGAAGTTTTTCACAAAGTTGAGAATAGTCTCTCTCTTGCTCTCTTGAATCGGGGAAGCTTGGAGAATTGGAGAAGACTGTTCTACACAAGTACATGAGACATTTTACTCATACGCAGCTTCAAACCTTCTTACTGATGTGTTGCATGGAAACATCCCATGCTCAGGATGCGTGAGGAGGGAGAATAAGACCTTGGATGGTTTTTGTGTTTCATTTACTGCTGCTGAGGAGTAATAGTGACCGGGGTCATGGAGAACAGGCAGGAGCCTGTCTTATCCTCCAGAACTGGTAGGGGCTAAGGAAAATATTTTCATCTTAGCAGCTCCCCCACCCCACAGTGGGGCCTGCAGGAGAATAACCACCCTAGGAGGGAGGCTGGCTGCAGTCTGGCATTAGGTCAGCTGAGGGCAGCCACTTGGCAGTGACTCTGGTTTGCTGCTCTTGCTGCATTTTGCTTCCCAAGGCTCTCCTCTGGCACACAACGACTGCTGTTCAGGAAGGCGGTCGTATGCTGCTTTCTTCACACATCTTCCCAGCACAGACAGCCCAGCAGGTCTCTGCAGGGTGAGTGGAGGGAGAAGCATTCCATAGCGGGAAAGAGGAGGTGAGAAGATGGTTGGTGATTTGCTCCTCTCTCCCGTTCTCTGGCCAACTTCTGACTTTCCATCCTGGTGCTGCAGATTATTGCTTGTAAGTGCTCAGCTCCCAGAATCAATATAGCCCAGCTGGGGACCATAACCATGAAACAGGCTGGGAGAAATTGCTGGAATTGGCTGCAGGAGCAAATGCACATCTCCATGTCTCTCACCCTCTTCCCTGCATCCCCTTTCTCTCACTCCTCTCTCTCTGCTGAGAGCTGCCTTTCCATACAGACTGTGTTTTGCTGCTGCTCCCGCTGGGAGAAGCTGTCGGGAGGGTTGAAGTGGATGTGGTCAGAGGGGGAGTGTGTTGAGGGGTGGTCTGACGGGTGGGAGAGAGCAAATGACTTATTACTCGCAGGGCGAATGTTTCCAAGCGAGCTAATGTGTGCTAATGCATGAGTGCTTCCCAGGAGGCGTGCAGCCAGGCACGGGCAGCGGGCAGCTGACGTCCAGAGAGCACTTGGGATTTAATTTGCATTCTGATTATCTTTGCCCTGCTGGCCTGAGCCCTTGCAAGTAAATCCTCCCCCTAATCCCCCTCCAGAGAGGTGTAAAGAGCAGTGAGGTGGTGTCAATTGCAAGTACTTAATGGCATTGATATTGGCTGTCTGCAGCAGCAAGGCTCTTGGCCCATTGATCTCCATAAGGGCTGGCAACGGGGGAAACTGGTGAAGACAGACCTTAAGCATCTTCAGCACCTCGCCGTTTAACTGAAATCCCCACCAGAGCGACACTACTTTTGCTAGAGCTCTCACAGCTTTGGGTGTTGGTGGAAAAGAGCCACGTCGGAGGCGACCGGCACGGTCTGACTCAATGGTGCTTGGCTGCCCAAGCTCACGGGGCCTTGCGTGGCTTTCAGTCCGGAGATCCAGGACAGCCAGCTGGTCGTGGATGTCTTGTGTTTGTATCTGTGCTCAGGTAGCAGTAGGTGGCCCGTTAGCAAAAGTAGTCGTTCACCTCAGTGACTGGCTCACAGACCTCTCTGCTGCTCCCTTAGTTGGTAGCAGCACACCCAACCATTCTCTGGCTTACAGATACAGGGCAAAGCCAAGTTCCTGTGTTTAAACTCAGCGCTTTATGTTCAAAAGTACCAATTAAGGTTGTTCTTACTGTTGGTTTTGGGTTTTTTTTTCCAGCTTGAAGACTTGAACTTCCCAGAAATTAAGCGTAAGAAGCAAGATGAACGCAAGGAGGAAGATAAGAAGGAATTCAAGGACCTCTTTGAGCTCGACAGTGACTCTGATGAGGAGAATGTTGGATTCCCCATAAAAGGTACGGGGCTGGGGCTGGGGCTGGACATACCTGCCCCTTGGGCAGAGTTCTGTATGACGTGGGTCAATACAGCCCTGAGCAGATATAAGCTGGCCACCTTTGGCTCAGAAAATACGCTGTTAGGGAGAGAGCATGCAGGATGGTGTTACCTCTTGGAGGCCTTTTAAAGTGACAGACAGAGGTAGTTGGGAGGCTTTTACCCTCCTCCCCGTCTCCTCTTTTGTCAGTCCAGCTCATTTTAAAACCTTAGCTGTGCATTAGTCTCTTTCTGTGCGCAACCCGTCCGCTCTTCTCTCCTCCAAAAAGTGTTTTCTGTCTTCTTGTGCCATGAGTGGAGGTGCAGAAATCGGTGTTTTGTTTCTGCATCTGTAAGAGGAATAAGAATGTTCTACCTGAGAGCATGCTGACTTTTCACTGCCTGCATCGTTACAAACCGTAGCTATCGAGGGGGCTGGCTACCAGAACAAGGATCTGTGATGGAAGAATGGTTATCCTCTCTTTGCATGCACTTCTGATTTATTCATTTTATAGTGACTGACGTTGCAAATATTTTTGACAAGGAAGTCTAGAGCCTGGAGAAGATGGAGTGATGTCACTCACTGGCTGTGACCACGAGAGGGCCACAGTAAATTGTGGAACCTGCCTGAGAAGTTCACCACATAGTTTGAGGAAAGAATGAGATGTCCTCTTTGTAATTTGGAATGTTGGGGATATCACCAGTTTTCTAAATGCATTGTCATTCATATAGCAGGGTGACTGGCAGGAAAGCAGAGCTTTCTTGATTGGAGATTTAATCTGTGGGTAATGTTGTAGTCTGTTGCACGTGCTGTAAGGTGTGAGGCCAAATCATGAGGCTGATCAAAGAACCAAAGAGTGTCGGCTCCCTCGCAGGCATCACAGGAGGAAGAAGAGGTTGGGAAACTTGTTCGATAGCTTGAGGTTGAAGTCACTGGATTTTTGTAGGTGACCCAGCAAAGAAGGAAAGTAAAGTGAGCACGTGACCCACTGAGGTACTGAGAGATGAGCGTGATATCAAAATGATTCGTGGAGATACATCCTTGGGATCTGGAGTTGTCCCGACTGTCCCTTTGAGTTAACTCCTTAGAAAATTCCCAGTGGCTTCTGAAAAGGCAGTGGTAACTGCAGCTCAGAAGGCAGGTTGCTGAGAACCAGAGAAACCCAAAGCCTCTTCCCGAGCCGCTCGGGAAAAGACTTTATGTACTCTTGGGAGATTTCTTGGACTGATGGACTTCTAGATGCACGTTGGGATCCGAATGAGGCACGTCTATGATGAATGTCCCTGATGATGCAAACAAGGTCTGTAGCAGCTGTCGGGCACTTGACGTTCACAGCTTCTGCCTTGTCTCTGTGCTCGCCTGCTCACTGCAGACACCTGCTGCAC